TCAGCTCTCGAATCAGAATGACTTGCACCTCTGTTGTGTATGTGTACAATAATGAAGCAATAAGCCACAGAGGCTGTGTGTTACTGCGATTTTATCATAGGAAGGGTGTTTTGACACAAAGTGGAGTGCCTAAAACCCCCTTCCCCATGATAAAATCACAGTAACGCATAGCCTCAAGTGGCTCACTGCTTTTTTAAAACGGCGGCCAACATAAAATATGATAAAATACACAATTTTCCAAAAAATAATTTAAGTTAAACAAGTATTCCGCCAAAAATGTAGTTTAGAGTGTGGTATCGTTGCCAAGCAACCATGGGTCACTGAATGAGGAGAAGAACGTTTGGTCGCCCCTCAGTGTATATTACGGCCATTTCATGAATTTTTAAACTTTCTGTCGTATAACAATAAACAGATCATAACACAGCACTATTTAATGCAAAAACCTTTGCTTTATAAGTACTTTGTGGCCACCAAATTATCACCGCGAGTCTTACTAAGCACCAATCCAGTGGCGCCCTCTTCTCACGCTGGGGCTGAATCTCAAATGACTCCCTGCTCCCTACATAGTACACTACATAGGAATTTAAATACTGGATCCTGCAGCCCAAATAGTCATTTGGGACACATCCATACTCAATAAATGATGAACTATTTGACTGTAGAGACTATCATTTCTAAACTTTAATAGCTAGCACACTATTTAGGGAACACAGAGCTGTTTGGGATTGAGCCTGGGTTTGAATGAACCTCTGACTGAAACACGAACATTTGAAGCGTGTAAGACATTTTTAAGCTTTATACTGCCGTTTTACAGTGAATCATATCATAAGTACTTTATTTCAAGCCTGTGGTATTAATGATGGAGGTGTTTAGGCTGTTGGCTAGCTGACCAGCCTGATTCTAGTTAAGAACATAAAGTTACCAGCCCCTCAGTTTAACAAAAAAACTGGCTCTTACTTCATCAGTACACTTGGGGGTCCATGCGAGCAGCACGAGAGTCAAAGATTAATCCATTAACAGCACAAGGGTGTTTTTCGTGCTGTGGTGCAGTAATACAGAGTTCAGTTGTTGTCAGGTGGTCATAGGTGTGCGCATATTGTGGATTTTGCAAGGGCTTTGAAAGCAGTTCAGCCAATCAGATTTTAGGATCGAAACTATCTGTTTTATAATACTGATTATGTGTGTCTTATAATTATGTATAACTGACAAAGGGCTGGAATTAACAGGCAGTGAAGGAGAGAGAGAGAGAGAGAGAGAGAAAAAGAGAGCGAGAGAGAAACGTTGACGTCTTTGCCACTATGACTCTTTTCGGCCTTAAGGGTTAATGAGATTTCACTTTTAGGAGAAATTCAGTAGAATGACATTAATATATATGTAAAGATTAGTAGAAACAATTATTATACCTTAGTCTCTGAGGCATCAGGTCATGTGTGAAACCTGGGTTTCAGAACTTTTAATTATGTGGAACGTTCACTATCGTCCAGCACTAGTAATACCAGTGGAATTCATTCTGTATCAAGTAATGTACTGATCTACAGCAGTGGTTCCCCACCTTCTGCATTTCAGTGTTTTTCTGCTCTAAGACACCTGATTAAATTCAAGAAGGGCTTCTTAATCAGCTGATTAGTTGGATCAGGAGTATTAGAGCAAGGAAAACACCAAAATACACAAGGCAGGGGTTCTCCAGGGGTCCATTTCATAAAGCAGGATTTCTCAGTAATGAGCATAATGTATGCCAAAAGTTAGGACTACCCCTAGGGAAAGCCTCCTATTGAATCTGGCTTAAGTTATCTGGCTAACTGAGAAATCCAAATACTTGAAGAGTCGTTTTTTGCGTTTTGCTATGACCCTAGAAAATCAAATGGAAATTATTTATTCTACAGATTCTTGTTGCTGTATCCATTCTGGAGTACCTGCATAGAAACCTGCTGCAAAGTGAAAAGAACCGCTCAGAGCACTTCTGCTGTTCTTTTCTTTTCACCTCCTACTCTCTCTCTCACACACACACTCACACACAAACAAGTGTCATGTGTAATCACAGTTGTAGCTCCCGCTAATGAATGTAGATCTCTATGCTAATAGTGCTAATATACACGGTGCCTACTTCAGTTGCAGCAGGGCTCTCCAGAGGCTGACCCTGCAGTCTTGTGTTCTTCATTAATGCCCAGCGGCTAATGAAATCAATGAGGCGGGCCTCAACGGTCATGCCCTAGCTGTTAGCAGACTCCCAGCAGCTTTGAAATCATCAATGGCGGCTCACATAATCCAATGTCCATGACCTGCATGAAGCTACATGCATATCACATGACCTCCGTCTGACATATCATGTGACCTAATTAAGCTAAACTGAGACAGAGAATTCTACAGATTCACTCAACAGGTGAATTTGCTCTCTCTGGCTAAGGTTATCGTTTCAATATTTAGATGCAGGTTCTGTTTGAAAAAAAGATACAGTACTGCTGGTGGAACAAACCAAGAACATTTCAGGAAAATGGAAAATGGAAAAGTAGCCCCACTTTTTTAGCGTCCTATATTATGTTCAGATTAGGCCTCTGCCCACTGATGGTTAACGGAGTTACTGCGCCCAGTGTCCCCAGTGACAGTAAAAATTAATTTACTGCAGGTTTAAAGGAACGTCGTTCATTTACTGATTTACTTTATGCAAACCACAGCAAGAAACGAATATTCCCACACATGAACACCACTTTTAAAAGTTGGGTGATGTGATATCTCAGTTTAATATCACATTTGTTGCACCTAACATAGATTGGATTGTGGTAGACACGCTGCTGCACTAGTTAAATGTGATCAGTGCAGCAGATAGATATTATGCCTGTACAAAAAGCTGCTTATGTTAAGGTGTACTTTTAGGACATCCTCACACCACAGCGTCAACCTTATACATCAGAAAAAAAAATGTCTGGGTCTTGGGAAAAACGTAAAATAGGGCAAAAATCGTGTCTCAGCTCTCGTTCATCAGGTGAAACAGGAATTGTCCAATGGTATCAGGCGAAATGGCTTGAAAGAGGAAGGCATCAGGTTTAATGACCACAAAATCTCAGAAAAAATTCATGTGACATTTGCAATTACTTAATTTCTTCCAAATAAAAAAGACAACTTTTTAAAATAAACTTTTACTGAACTTTATTATGTTCTTTTATTGGACAAAGATTAAGATTCAATTCACTATCACTCTGTTTCCTCCCACATCCATTTCAGTTTAAGGTAAAGGGGATAGAAAAAAAATCCCACACAGTCACCAACACTGGCCTATTTGAGATGCTTTAACTGTTAAATGTTCCAGTGAACATCAGGTATCAACGGTTTTAAGGCTTGGGCTAAATTTAGGTTTTGGCTTGAAGTTAAGGTTACAGTTAGGGTTAAATTTAGGAATAGATTTAGTAGAATCTATTACATTCAACTTAACTTTCATTGGAACAGATATTTGGCTGAATGTAAGTAAAAGTTACACTATGGAAAAGCTGGGAAGAGCATTTTGTGACCCCTTCCCCAAGTGAATGACTCTGATGATTGCAAACGTTTCTGAAGAAGAATTCAAAGAGAACTCAGTCAAAACTCAGTGAAGGATGTGTCTTCTGAGATGTGAGTGAATTATCTACTACTGTCATCATGTCTTCATCAGTATAATGTTGATTCTGCTTTTGAGATCTACACATCCTTGTTGTGTGTGTGATGTTAATGCAGAAAGATTGACGTGATTCAGAAAACTCAAGCAAAATCCAACTGGACTTTTAAATCACTATTTCAGGCTTTATTGGGTGACTCGCAGCAGCACATTCTTACCAATTTTTAGCCTGTTTCTTTCCTCCTAACTTAGTAATGCGAGTTCTTTCAGTTTTAACAACAAATCTTAATTAAATAGGTTTAAAATATCTGACAAACTGAGCATCTACAGTGGATTCCTAAATAAGTGTTATAGTGTTATATACAAGATTTTACTCCAAGTAATTTTGGACCCTTACTGTTGGTTCATTTACCATGAAATTTTCACACAATGTAAGCCGGCATTTTTAGATGCTATAAAAAATATAGGACTTTGATTTATCAGTACATTTTGCAATGCTCTCAATGTCTCGATCTTTTGCTCCCTCGTCCACATTTACACTACAGGGCCACGCTGACTCAATCCACTCTGGAAGTAAACCAGCTCTGTGGTCACTGCCCTGGCCTTCTTCCTGCACATACCTTCTTATTAGCTCAGCTGAAAGATTTAAAAGGAAAAGCTTAAAGAATGTCAGCAATCTAAAACAGATTACACAATCGCAGCAGCCCTAAAACAGCACTTCCCCTTTCTCAGGAGTGACGGGAGATTTCGCTTCCTGCTCATCAAGTGACACGATGATGAATGGAAATGAAAGAGGGAAATGTGTACCGGCTAAAAGGAGAGTGCAAATGAAACACTGCGCTTTAAAAAAAATTACAAAAGACTTATTTGCTGAGCTTAATCTGACATCGGGAGATGATCAGCTACTCTGTTGAGGTGTACAGTGGACTGCCAAGCCATGCAATCAGAGATAATTGGTTTTAAAGGGCAAACACTTTGTCTGCTGATTTTATGATGCAGCCCTGAGTGAAATGAACACTCTAATAAGCACCCAAAGCTACATGAAATGGCTCGGAGAAATTGCAAGGTAAATTCATAGGTCAAAAGTATAGGAAGCCCACATGCACGCACACATGGACCGTCACACAGCCCATTAAAAAAAAATAAAAATCCGGCACAGCAAATCAATTCCACTTCATATCCATCTATTATCTTGTGCATAATACAGCAGTATCAAAGTTCATAGCACTTACTAACAAATGAGAACCTTTTTTTTGTTTTCATAGTTAGTCTCATGATTAACAATTCTGTGTCACTTGCATGACATCAATTTCTGTGGCAAAAAATAGTCATGCTGTGTGAAAAGGCATTTTGGTGGAAGAGCAAGAGTCACGAGCTGCGGCAGGAAGTGACATGAATTATGGCCTTCACTCACCGCAGGCACCAGTAGCTTATTGACTTCCTCCACGGCCCGCTTCAGCTTGATCTCAGCGCGGTTCTGAGCGTCTTCAACTGTGATCAGGACGTGCAGGTCCTCATTCAGGTGCTCCCAGTTCGGCTTGCCCCGGTTCTGCTCCTCCTGGAAAGAAAACACACATTCTCAGCAAAAAAGCTTTTATATAATAGCAAAAAATAACTTACAGCAGAACACTGTCTAGGTTTTACACCATAGAGAAGAACCATTTTACAGTGCAAAGAACCATTTATGCATTCACGTCATTCTTTGATTTATACATAACCATTGCCTTTACTAAAGAACACTTGGATAATCATTTTCTTGAAGTGTGTACACAATAGGAGGAGTCACAACTAACCTTGCAACAAACTGACTTGATTTTACATAATTAGAAATTTATCAATAATTAGATTTGACTGGATTTTTAAAATTTAGACTTCTTTTTAAAAGCACATTCAATAGCTATACTAGTCACATTTGTGACTAGAATATCTATTTATACAGTAATAGAATACAGATTCTAACAGTCCAGGAATCTTATTTCAATCCAGAATAAGAAAAGAGTTACTGAATATTACTATTCTAAACTTCCAAAATTGAAACATAAAATTTGAAAACATGTTTTTTATTCACTAACTGCAGGGGGGAAATCGGAAGGTGTTCATGTGGAATGAGTAACGAAAGCTGCCTCATCAGATGAGCTAACACTAACTGGTACAGCACTGGATGCTAATAAAGACTTCCTGACTTCTACACAAGCGCTCTTTTTTCTCAGTGGAAGATGTGCCATCATGAAACGTACTTTCAATGTAACTAACATCAGCTAAAGTAGGTAGCAATAAAGCCATGCCAGAGACAGCTGCTCTATCTCTGCCTTCTCAGCCACATCCTTAACAATAGATCCTTGGCAACATGCTCACATTTAAGCACTCATGTTTCGTAGTAGCGGAGTGTAATATACTTGCTCGCAAAACTGTCACAATTTATAGCTCTGTTAAAATATAAAATCAGCATTTCTTTAAGTTTTAGTCTGTCTTCCTGTAATTAAATGGAACAAATACTCAAACTACGATTTCAGTATTAATATATATATATATATGAAAAACGATAAAAATGGAGATAAAAGGTTTTGTTCCGACAGCAGGGAGATATATATATATATATATATATATATATATATATATATATATGTGTGTGTGTGTGTGTGTGTGTGGTGTGTGTAAAGCACAAAATGGGATTTTATCCACTTGGATCAGCATTACAGATGAATATAACATTTACTTATATAGGCTTACAAGTGCAGTCAAATAAATAAAATGCACACATTTTAGCACAGTAGTGCAAAGTAACCTAAATGTTCTGCTATTCGAGAGTACAATAAATGATAAATGCCACCAAAAATACATTTTCTTAAGCAAATATCAGCCCATACTGATCCCAGTATCATTGCTCATTCCAAGTTCAGATACTGCAGAGTTCATAAATCATAAACAAAAGGAATATAATTTATATTCACTAACTTTCCTACTGAATTGGAATGAGTTTGACATTATTCTCAAACAACGCGAATGGGAAAACGTGAGCACTGCGGATCAAAACGTCCCAGAGCTGTTAAAGTTTAAGCATGCAGTCCTTGCTTTCAAAACTTTGGCATTCAGAATTCTAGTTTGCCTCCAGGTCTCACTGTTCGATACCTTGACGGGACCAAAACAATGCACAGTATTTTCACTCCTCCAACAAAGAGCAGAACCGAGAAGGGTGCAACAGGAGAGGCTGTGGAAATAAACATAAAATGGAGCAGAAAGAGGTGCTGGTACTTTGATCTGTAGCCTGCTACCAAAGATGTCGTGCACATGCCATGGAGTAATGTGCTGATTTATAAAGGAAGCTTCATGAAGCAGCAAACAGAAGCTCAAGACAGGCAGCGGCTGGGGCTTTCACAGTTGTGTTCACAGCATCCCTGAACACAAAACTCAATCAGATCTGCAGCACAACCCCGCACTGCTCCGAAACTCCGTAGTCCCTACTATTGAAGAGCTGCGACGCTACTTCTAAAGATGTTTAAAGCAGGAGAGCTCTTCTGTTTGCCTTTGTGTGTCTTTGTTTCTCTGCTTGCCTTTCTTTTTATATATGATTTCCCTATGAAACAGTTAAATCAAGATTTGATTTATGCAATAATCAGATATGCAAACAGTGCTCATTTTTCTCCTTGTGCCAGCAAATGGGAAATTGATGACAATCAGCGCCGCCGTTTGTGTTGCTACATTTTTTTTGCCTGCTGATTTTCATTAGGGCTCCATTGTTGTCCCCTTTTTTTGTGGCTGGGGAAAATATTGCAGCATTAGCATCATCAGGCGCGCTCGATATGATTTATCATTTGACATTGAGGCAGCATGCTCATATTAGGTCACTTCCTTTTTTTCTTGCCGTTTGTCCCTCTGTCGGCTGATTTACTTGGCTTTCCTTGGTTTTGACAAGCGCTAAAAATTGATCCTCTGTGCCTGGCTGTCACAGCCCAGCGGCCCACCCACGACCACCCAGTCAATAACACTCGGGAAAAAGCCCAGCAAAGATGGCCAGGGTGCACGAGTGTGCGTGTGCGCTTTTTTGCTCGGGGGTTAATGGTAGGTTTTTGTGTAGACCTGTCTATCAGTGTGTGTACACGTTTGTGTGTGTGTGTGTGTGAGTGAGTGTGTGTATTAGGCGAAATCTTTAGGCACCTCATGATTCGGTTTGATTTAAATTCAGGGTGCCGAGGTGCTATTACAGACCGATTTTCAATGCATCTCCATTTTTGATCTCTGTAGCCTATATCAGGGCTGAATAGTTTGCAAAAATATCTTATTGTGATTTTTCTCACCAATAGTGTGACTGCGATTTGAATTGCAATTATTTTCTATAAATTAAGATCCAGGCCTATATTTTGCCAAAAAGACATTTTTCTGGCTTTAGGCTTGAATGATGATGAGTGCCAGATTGCCAGTTAGGTGTGGCTGTGTTGTCACGTATACAGCAAGTGGGTGTTTGGTTGCTTCTGACTGGCCTAACTCATCCACAGGCAGCTGCCCGAGCTCTGTGTTATTGGGTTAAACTTTCCCATTTTAAAAAGCTTTAAAAAGACAACACTTCCGGTAATGTAGCCTATAATTAAAAGTACAGCTCTTGCTGTAGCTTAGACCTACTTTCTATTCTATTCTATTGTTAGCTTATATGCCTTTTTAACTTTGACTGATTTAATTAAAATCTTTCATGAAAATATTTACCACTGCAATTCTCAGCAACTCAACATTTTTCTTCTTTTTTTTTTTTCTACATCAGTTGGCCACATTATCTGCATTGGCTGCTACCATTGCCAATAGTTGTAGAATGTTTGGTCATGGCTCAGACAGGATACAGATTTCCAGGCAAAACTTTAGACAGTTATGCAACTGGGCACTATGACAACAATAGAGGCTGAACTCATGAATCTGAACACAAAACACCACCATGGTAAGTATTACAAAAACATATAAAAAGAATCCAAACTTTGGTAAAATAACTTATCACACAGAAAAAAAAACATTTTTTGAGAAGAGAACTAATGAAAAATATATAAACTCAGAGGTGATAAACAGAAACCAAAAGTGCAATGCACTCTGGGTAGCTCTGCCCCTAGTATATATTATTTAATACTGTGAGTTTCTGTTGTTTATTTGCATTTTAAGATGTGTGACAATTACTAACTATAGAACTAAGTAGAACTATCATATCAGTCAGTAAAGCAATGTTTTTTATTTTTTTTATTTTTTCCTGTTTCCTCCCCAATTTATTCGTATCCAGTTCCACCCACTGGTTTGGACTCCCCCAATTGGAGGCTAACACAAGCTCCGAGTCACATGAAGCACTACCACATGTTTTCGACCTGCCGCTAATGCAACGTTACTCGACAGCTGAACACGCTTGGAGGAGAACACTAACCGCCAGTTCTGTTACATCAGCCAACAGACGCCTGCGCTGGCTAGCATCGTGCTGAGTGATGGGGGAGAGGAATGGCCATTCCACCCACCCAGAGAGAGCGAAGCTAGCTTTCTTGGAATTCCGGCCACAGATGGCTGTAGCAGCCACAGGGATCGAACTTGCAATCTTCTGATGATAGGGCCAAGGCTTAGATGGTTGAGTAAGGTACTGTTTAACTTAAATTACTGAAGCGTATAAGTAAAATATAATGTAAATATAAAATATACTGGCTGATTTGATCAGGTATCAGAATTTTTAGCCCCTTAAAATCGTTACCGGTATCGGCCACAAAATGTTCACATCGGTCAGGCCTTAGTGGGCAACCATAAAGTATTATATTTTTATGACTGTACAGCTCACCTGAACCATCGGGACATTTAAGCTGTACAGAAAATTATGAGAATTTCCCTCAGACGGTATCATAAAATCTGATTACGACAATTTGTAAATTGATTCAGAATCTTTCAAGCTGAGAATCACAATGTAACTAAAAATCTATTATTTTTCCCAACCCTAGTGTGTAAACACTGAGCTGTGAGATATGGCTGGCATCTCGTGATCCGGTCAGCTTGTCTCACATTGCGTCCACTCTACGCCCTGCAGGGCGGCCGGTGACAGGCTGGTAGTCAAGGTGACGCTCCCTCAACGCTCCACAGAGAAAACATGTCCAGCTGTGCAGCCCTTTGTTTACACCTCCTCTCTCTTTCTCTCTCTCTCTGTCTACCCTCTCCCTCCTCCTCTTCCTCTCTAGCTGGCCATCCAGTAGCTGAGCAGTAGCATAATCAATGTCCATAAATCCATTGTCCAGTTCCTTTGTAATCCTCACAGAGGCAATAACACTGCCCTGAAGCAAAGCTGGCCCTACCACCGAGGCTGCTGGGAAGTAATATCACGACCTGCTCGGGAGGAGGGGGAGTGGGCTTAATTGGCTGAGGAACATGCAGGGAAGAGAGAGGGATGGAAAGAATGGAAGGGGTTGGATGAAAAAGGGCAAAGCACTGAAGGTACTATACAAATCTCTGTTAACGTCTTCTTAGCTTCAAATTCCAGGATTTATATGGTGACTGCTGTGGAATCAGCCATAAGTTAGTCAAATTCCATGTTTTGTTCATTTTCTGAGTGAAAAT